TCCTCTTTGTAGAGCACTGTATAAAAGTGGTTCCCCATGATTTCCCTCCATGTCCTTCGTCCCTGACACTGTCCATTTCCCCTGCATTTCTAGCAGAGACCCGCTAGGACACTGGCCACCCTGGTGACAACTAAGCATCTCATCCAACAGAGATCATTAATCTGGAATAAGTTGCTTTCTTCTTGGCCTTTTTTGTGGCTATCGCTTCTTGGAAGAGAAAAGGAATTGAGATTTTTAGATTGTGTTAGGAAAAAGATCAGCACCTCAACGCAAAACCAGTTTTTTAGTGGTATTTCACAAACCGATCTGTGTTGGAAAAAGTGAGGCTAGAGTGCACCTTAGAGGCAAGGATGGCAACACTTCTTACCTACTCTGGACATGCTGTCAGGAGAGACCAGTCCCTAGAGATGGACATCGTGCTTGGTACAGTGGAGGAGGCAGCAAAAAAGAGGGAAACCCTCAAGGAGATGGATTGACATGGTGGCTGCATCAATGGGCTCAGGCATCGGAACAATTGTGAGCATGGCACAAAACCGTGCCGTGTTTTGTCCTGCTGTGCAAGCGTCCCTGTGGATCAGAGCCGACGCTGGCAACTAACAACAATGGTGGTATTTCATTGTGGTTTTGATCTACATTTCTCTAAAGGAAATGGAAATTGAGCCCTGATGGTGCAGTGGGTTAGGTTTTGACTGTTAACCTAAAGTCAGTGGTTCAAATTCTGCAAGCACGCCGTGGGAGAAAGATGAGACTGGCTCATCCTGCAAAGGGTTTCCGGGAGTCAGCGTCAACTTGATGCCAATGGTTTTTTGTTGACTGGCTGAGATACTTTGGACATGTCATCAGGAGAAACCAGTCCCTAGAGAACGACATCATGTTGGCTAAAGCAGAGGAAAAACATATTTGAAACATTGCATCTCTCTGGGAGGAAGTTATGGGAATATGAATGCAGGAGGGGCTAGAGATATTGCTGTCATGTAAAGACACTCAAGTACCTGATCTGCAGCAGTACATTGACAGGGAACTGCCGGAAATTCAGGCCGATTCAGAAGAGGACGTGGGACAAAGGATATCATTCCTGATGTCAGATAGAGCTTGGCTCAAAGCAGAGAATACCAGAAAGATGTTTACTTGTTTTCATTGACTATGCAAAGGCATTCAACTGTATGAACTATAATAAACTGTGGCCAACTTTGAGAAGAATGAGAATTCCAGAACACTTCATTGTGCCCATGTGGAACTTGTACATGGATCAAGAGGTAGAACAAGAGAACACTGCATGGTTTAAAATCAGGAAAGGTTTGTGTCAGGACTGTATGTAGGATAACTGGACAGTCCCTGTGGCCATTACATAATCTCCTGTCAACTTGTGAAGGGTGGAGTCTAGCCTGTCAATCAGGTCATAGCCAATGAGGCCTCTGTGTGGGCATGGCTTTCTCCTGGGGATTCTGGGAACTCCTGTCTTCCTCCCTGGAGGTGGGATACACACTCTCTCTGTGCTCCATCTCCCTGCAAGAAATTCCTGTTGACTAGCCACATGGAACTATGCTGATGGCAACCAGAGCCTTGGAGCTGGAGGAGCCACGTGGAGACCCACGCCAGTGCTAACATGCTTCCACCGCCACTGGGTCCCCAAGACTTTTCACACCCACTGGCCCATGATCTTCCTGATTCAGCATCGTTGCATGTGTTGCGTGAGCCTGTAGAGAAATTTATAGACTGGTATTGGACATATGGGCTAATATCGAACTTATGGACTTGAACTGGACTGTTTTCTTAATCTACAATTACTCTTTATATAGTCTCTGGATTTGTCACAGTCCCTCTCAGAAGGGTCACAAGGAAGGAAGGGATAAATCCAGAGTATGGTATAGAACTGATGAAACACATAACTATCCTCTAGTTCTTTAATATTTCCTCCTTTTACTATTATGGTTTTTGTTTTACCTCATTAGACTCATTTGTATAATTAAGATCATTCGAAACATGAAAGCCAAGATAGGTAACTCTTCAGAAACAGTAACAGGAGTAATAGCTCCCAGAGGAAGAGGGGGGTGGGATGAGGAGGAAGGGGGAGCTGATAGCATTGATGACTGTATAACCCCACTCAAGGGGAACGAAGTAAACAGAATTGTGTGAATGTCTATATTGGATGGTGTAAGATACGGCAAAAACAATAAATAAATAAGGGTTCCTGGAGGGTAGGTTGGGGGAGGGGATAAAGGGGAGCTGATATCAAGGAGTTCAAGAAAGAAAATGTTTTGAAACTGATTGTGGTAGTAATTGTACAATACTGCTAGATATGATTTAACTATGGAATGTTTTATCTGTAAGAGCACCTAATAAAATGATTTAAATAAATACAAACAGCATTCTATGATTTTTTTTAGTGTTTTAAAAATCAGTTTCCCTTTAATTCCGGAACTAATAGTTTCATTTTAAAACCACTTTTTCCTTAATAGAACACATTATTTATTAACTAACTTAAGTTGCTTGGGCATATTTTGCTTTCAAGTCATTATAAATGAAAAAATCTCTATTGAAATAAATTCATATAATCAATGCTCTATGATATGACCATTACATAATTCATAAGCAGTCATTTGTCTTTAAACCAAGTCAAAGTGTCTTTTAAGAACACCACCAACTAAAATAAACAATTCCTCTTTTCCTAACAGGACAGTGCTGTATGTTTGTTGAAGCATTTCACCTGGTATAATTTTGCATCAAAGTTTCTTAGAGTAGCTATTAAAAGTCTAAAATCTAAAGTAGGACTTTTTCTCCCAGCTTCTAGTTTGTCTCTTTACTCTGCTGTCAAAGTCCTTTACTGAACAAGTTTTGATTTATTCTCAATGAAGTCGTTTATCTAGTTTTGTTGTGTTATTTTGCTGTCACATTTAACAATCCATCATTAAAAACTAGGTCCCAAAGCAATACTTCTATATTCTCTGAGTAATTAAAAAAATTTTAGTTCTTATTTTTAGGCTTTTGATCCATTTTGTTAATTTTCCTTTACTCATATGATGTGAAGAATGAATCCAGCTTCATTCTTTTTCACGTGAATATCAAGTTGTCCCAGCACCATTTACGAAAGAAGCTATGTGGACTTGACATCCTTGTCAACAATCCATTTGGGGGCGTGTGAGTTTATTTCTGGATTCTGTTCCATCGGTCTGTGCACCTAGCAATGACGTCCCTTATCCACATCCTCTTCTGAATCAAACTTCAGTTTACAGCAGTTCCCTGTCAAATGCACTAACTACTGCAAACATTTAAAATCATCTTCAGGAAATCTCACTTGCATGTGACATAATTTGATAATGTCCACCTTTCTTTCTGGATGCTACAGTCAGTTGGCCAGGTAGCAGGCTCCCAAATGTCTTGCCATAGATGTGTGCTTCCAGTGCTGTGTGTGTTTGTGGAAACATTCCAGCTGGTATCTTCATGAAACTTTGCTCTTCTTTAATGCCAAGTTCGGCAGCTTGGATTTCTTCAATACTTAAAAAAGGATCAAAATTGTCAAATGCTTCCGAAGCAGTAATGGCTAGGTGCATGGACTGTACAAGGAGGCTGCCTGCCTTTGAGTCCCTGCTCTGCAACGATCTCAGCTAGAACCGAGAGCAATTTACGTTAAACCCTGTCTCCGTTGACTCGTAGTCCAACATATTCGCTGATTCATGGGGAGGGTAACAATAGCTGCTTCCTAGTGTTTTCTTAAGGATCAAATTAATTCTCACAAAGCACTTATAGCAGTGTCTGGTACGGAGAAAGTACTAGATAAATGATTACCATATCACGACGGTCTCAAGGACTTTAAGCATCAATAACTCAACTGTGGATCTATTTGCAAAGTTTCTATTGGCTATCTTAAACAAGTGAATAGAACTTTGACCAAACTAATTCAGTCCTCAGAGCTACTGCTAGTTGTTAACTTTTTTTGTGTGCTTATACAGAGTCATCTATTTTTGAGCTACACATCAGAAATGGGAGTGATTGAACTGTGGAATGGTATATCTGTAAGAACTCCCAATAAAATGATTAAAAAATAAAATTTGCTTACAAAAAATGAGAGTAAGTAGAGGTTATATTTGAGCTGTGATTAAAGACAATCTTCATATTGTTTCTTTAGGTTGTATCCGTTCTTCATAGCATCCTACTTTATGTGGTAAACTCTGATAGGTGTTGTGTGACATACAACAATTAACAGATCATAGCCCTCTGGGAGAGGTAGTAAACTAGTAGCGGAAAAAGGGGGGGAAAAAAAAGACAGGGGTACCAATGAGAGGTCCACAATGCTTTTAGGTAGGAAAGAGCATCCATACAAAGGGTGGAGAAGAAGACCCAGAAAAAAACAATCATATTGACGTAAATGGTGGGGGGAGCAGAGGGAAGACACAAAGCTGTCTGTCTGTAGACAATTGGACGTCTCTCACAGAAGGGTCACAAGGAATGGATGAGTCCTCCAGGATGCAGTATAGCACCGATGAAACACACAACATTCCTCTAGTTCTTTAATGCTTCCTCCCACCCCATCATGACACAGTTCTACCTTACAAATCTGGCTAGACAGGAGCATGCACACTGGTACAGATAAGAGCTCTTGATACATGGAATCCAGGACAGATAAACTTCTCAGGTACAATAATGGGAGTAGGGATACCGGGAGGATAGGAGGTAGGTGGGGAGAGGAATGGGGATTTTATTAAAATGATTGACATATAACTGCCCCCACCCCAAGGGGGATGAACAACAGAATGTGGGTAAAGGGAGACAGCAGTTGGTATATGGAAATAATACTTTATAAATAATCAAGGGTTCGTGAAGGAGGGAGGGTTGGGGAGGGAGGAACAAGTAGAAAGAAATGTTTTGAAAAGGATGATGACAACATATGTACAAATGTGCTTGGCACAATGGATGTATGGATTGTTATAAAAGCTCTAAAAGCCCCCAATAAAATGATTTTAAAAAAAAGGATCCAGGATACAAGTGAACTGGGGACAATCTCACAGAAGAGACAGCATTTGAGCATTTTTATTTGGCACTGAAAGGAGACAGTACATCTTTAAGATAATTTGCGGGCATAAAGCAGTTAGGAAATACGAGGGTTTGGGAATCACAGGGAAATTCCTAGGGCTAAGAGTAGTCCAGTTGGATGCACTTAAATAAAAGAATAAGGAAAGGTCTGGCTACAGTGGTAGGTTGAGGGTATGCTGAGGAAGCTGGACTTCATTATTTGGTGGGCACCATAGACTTCTGAGCAGAAAAAGAATGTGTAAGTATTGAAGATGGATTATTTTGGAAAAGGTTACTGTAATTATGGGGAAGGGCTATATTCAGACATAATCCACACTTTCTAGAGTACAAATAAAATGTATTTCTCACTCATAAAGTAGGGGAAATGCTTAATAAAATACATGTACAATAAATAATTCATTTTCAGAACTGTTCATTAGATGGCTTTATGGCTGTTCAGTGGAAGAAGCCACATTATCAGGGAAATCAGAAGGCAATTTCAGTAACTCTTCTATTTCTTCTTGCAAAGCTTCTGCTTTTTCATGTAACAGCATCTATAATAAAAAAAATCAAGACATGGACCTAAAATAACTGTTTCTAGAGAACTGCCAACATTTTTACCACCATCTACAAGATGCCTAAAGTCTTATGAATCAGTAAACTGGACATTAAAACTAATAATGAAATTGAAAAATGGGCACTTAAGAAAAGCAATTATCGCACATGAAGCTGAGGCATTTATTGAAAGCCATGTTAGCTGCTCACTGTTTTTAGTGTTCTAGAAATGACGGGGCTGTATACGCTCACAGATTTGTTTTACTGAAGACTTGGCCACTTAAAAATTAACTTTTAGTCTATAAAATCTAAGACAATTTTGCAAAAATTTAATTACCTCTTGAAATGGTCTATTTCACAAAGGTATTTTATTATTTCTCAATATGCTATCTTCTAAAAACCTAATCGTATTTCAAAGAAAAGTTTTATTCAAGCTCTTAGAGTTAACATGTTAATTTTAAAAGCCCAGCATAATACGCAAAGAAAGTATTTCTAAATACGACACACATATATCAACAAACATCTAGAAATAGGATGTTGGAATCTCTATAATTGGTTTAAAATCAGGAAAGGTATGCATCATGGCTGTATCCTCTCACCGTACTTATTAACTTTGATCCTGAGGAAATAATCGGAAAAGCTGGACCACACGAAGAGGAATGAGGTATCATGACTGGAGGAGGGCTTACTAACAACCCGAGATATGCAGAAGATACAATCTTGCTTGCTCAAAGTGAGGAGAACTTAGAGCACTTGCTGATGAAGATCAAGAATTGCAGCCTTCAGTGTGGATTACAACTCACTGTCGGGAAGACCAAATCCCTACAGCTGGACCAACGGGTAACTGAGATAAATGGGGAAGAGAGTGAGGCTCTCAGGGATTTCATCTTGCTTGGATCCACTATCAGTGCTCATGAAGCAGCATTAAGACATCAAAAGACACATTGCATTAGCTAAATCTACTGCCCAAGACTTCTTTAATGTGTTGAAAAGCAAGAATATTTATTGCTCTGAAACTAAAGTACGCCTGACCCAAGTCATGATATTTTCAATCCACTCATATGCATGTGAAAGTTTAACGTAATAATCAAGACCAAAGAAGAATCAATGCATTTGAACTACAATGCTGGCAAAGAGAATTACAAGTCCTGCGAACTGACAAAAGAGCAAACAAATCTGTCTGAAAGAAGTACAGCCAGAATGCTCCTGAGAGGCAAGGACAGTGAGACTTCATCTCACCTAGTTTGGACATGTCATCAGGAAAGACCAGTCCCTGGAGAAGAGCACTCAGCTTGATGAAGTGGAGGGAGGGGCAGCGGAAAGAAGAAACCCTTTGACAAGACGAATCGACACAGGACCTGCAACAACGGCTCAAACAAGACAAGTGCGAGGGTGATGCGTGACAGGGAGGTGTTTTGCTGTCATACATAGGATCACTTTGAATTTGAACCTACTGGATGACACCTACACATCTTTGTAACAGGGAGAAGTAGCTATAACATTTCTTTTATACATTTTTCAAGATAAAAATTTCAGAGAAATAATTAGAGGAACAAATCATATGAGAGCATAAAACAAACAAACAAGAACACTCAAACACTTGCTATAAAGCTATCTAGCATTGCTACAGCCCCTTGCTGTCAAGTTGAATTTGGACTCATAGTGACCCCATAGGATAGTGTAGAACTGCCCCATAGGATGTGCAAACTGCCACCTCCTTCTCTCATGGCCTGGCTACTGAGTTCAAACCATTGAACTTCTAGTTTGCAGCAGAATGCTTAACCACTATGCCACCACGGCTCCTTACATAGTATTACATGTAAGAGATTAAAATACAATCAGGTAGGTGTTCGAGTAGCTGAGGCAATGGTGAACATGCCAAATTAATCTCTTGACACATCCTCTAACAACAATCCAGATCAACAAGCGCAACACACTACACAGAGTCCGCGTGTCAGCATTATGACACCACAGAGAACATCATCTACCTCAGATTATTTAAAGTTAAAGAAAACACAAAACACCAATTTCCAGCAGAGCCATTTCTCCAGTTTCCACTTGAAGTGTTTGGGACATCAAGATGTGGTTGAAGTAGCATGGTACACACTCTACTTCATTGAACATGTGTTTCATGTAGACTATTTTCAGACCCAAAGTAAATTTCAGTAAGTCAAAAAAGATTGAAACCATATAAAGCATCTAACCCAGCCATAGTAAAATGAAGCTTCAAGTCAATCAGGAAAAATTACAAGTCTATTGGGTTATCAAAGAAATCAGTCTTAAGAATGTAGTAGAACAGGTACAAATCATTAGTTTTATTGAGTCTCGATCTTAGAGAACACATCATTTTAGTAGCTTATGTGACAAATTGGGAGGGATATTTAACGTGCTTTGTTGCAGACCCAAATATGACAGTGAAATTGCCGAAGCCCTTGTGGGATTGAGCTGTGAGTTGGCCTATCCGCTTGATGCCCAGACCATTTTTGTTGAAAGAGGCAGCAGACAGGTGACGGCTATTTAAACCTAGTCCGCTGGCAGATGTGCTCTCCAACTGCCTGTTACTTCAAACAAACACCTGGCATTGGTCCCTGCTGTGACAAAGTGTAAACACCTCTGTGGAAATTAGGGTTACAGAGAACTGCTGCCAGCTTCCCTCAGTTGAGCTAGATGGTGACATTAACACGTGAACTTTTTGAATACTGCCATGTGCCAACATTCAGAAGTTATGCGGCTAAGATCAAGAATAGAAATAATGTGTTATGCATGACATGGTGAACCAACATCTTCCATGTGTTGTTAATAAAAATCCATTATAAGTGAAGTAGTCCAACTGATTTCAATGTAATAGTATAAAAAAAAAGTATTGATGAAACTACCATCTGTCAAGTTTGGGCTTTTTAATCAAAGAGGTATACTCAGTTACCTGGAATGACATTAAAATCTTTTTCTTCTGCATTCAAAAAATCCCCTGACGTCGTCTTAAAGTTAGTCTGCCTGCTAGAGCATTATGCTATTTGAAGACCAGTCTACATGGGATCAAATGTATAGTAGATATTTGAAAGATCAGATAGAGACTTAATGGGGGATGAGTTTGTTAATGAGAGAAGAAGCACGATTGTTCAGCTGGAAGAATGCAATCAGTACCACTAAACTGTACATGGAGAAACTAGGTCTTACTCTGTGTGTTCTCAACAAAATAAAACTAGGAAAATCGTCCCTTTAAAAAAAAAGACATGGTTGAAAACAATCATTAGTGGATGAGAGAAAAGGAGGGCAGGGGAGACGTCGGACAGGGCAAGATACGACAGAATAATACTTTATAAATCATCAAGGGCTCATGAGGGAGCGGGGAGGGAGGGGAAAAATGAGACGTGATGCTGGGGCCTTAAGTGGAGAGGAAATGTTCTGAGAATGATCAGGGCAATGAATGTACAAATGCGCTTTACACAATGGATGTATGTATGGAATGTGATAAGAGTTGTAGGAGCCCCTAATAAAACGATTAAAAACAAAGAGACTTGGTTGAAAACAGTCAATAGTGGATGAGAGGAAAGGAGGACAGGGACAGAAGATCACATGAAAATCACCTCCCGGGGGAAAGATGGCCCCTGGGGCAGAAATTCTGAAAGATACTTTTGGCCAATTCCAACATTGCTGATAGAAAGGGTTATGGGGACTCTAGGACGCCGTCTTCTCTGTGCCTTTAGGGGAAAGAAGACGTTAAAAGGAAGAGGTGCTTTTCGGAAGGAAAAAGAATGGGGAAGGGAAAGTTGAGGAACGCACAGGACAAACATGAGCCCTGGTGGCACAGTGGGGAAGTACCACCAGCTGCCTACACAGGAAAGACGTAGCAGTCTGCTTGTGTGAGTTTTTACAGCGGCGTCAACTCTATGGGGCGGTTCTCCTATCCTGGTGGGTGGCTAGGAGAAGGAATCCACTCCACAGCTAAGGGTTTAGAGGAGAACAAAAAGACACTTCTAAAAAAATCAAAGGACCCTGTTACTGAATTGAATTGTGTCCCCACCGAATAGGTGTTGTGAATCTTAACCTCTATGCTTGTGATAGGGTACTGGTTGTGAAGTGGTTTCCCACTGGGCTGGCCTAACTAACCACAAAGTCTGCAGGCTGAAACTACCAGCTGCTCCTCGGGACTGACAGTCTCCTTGGAAACTCAAAGGAGCTGTTCTACCTTGTCCAATAGGGTCGGCATGGGTGGGCATCGGCATGGACTCGTTGGCAGTGAGTTTGGTTATTATTTTTTAAATGTCTGTGATTACAATCCCATTGTCTTTATTTTATTAATGAGGTGGGGGTACCTTGAGTCAATCTCTTTTGAGATGTAAAGAAGATTGAACAAAAGAAAGGAGGAGAGATAGGGAAAAGAGATGCCAAGCCAGAAGATGGTCACTCAGGAGCAGCAGCTCAGGAGAGACCAGGGCCTTCCTCCACAGTAGATTCAGAGAGAGTCTTCCCCTAGAGCCAGCACCCTGAATTTGAACTTCTAGAATTCCAAACTGTGAAGAAATAAATTTCTGATTGTTAAAGCCATCCACTGGTGGTATTTCTGCTACAGTGACAGTAGATAACTAGAGCATTAGATAAAACCGTCGTCCCCAGAACCAAAGTAATCCAACAAAGAATCCATACTTTTCCGAAGTGTCAGAAGAGTGAGATCTGGAGTTTGGATTATCACGAACTATTCCAAATAGCCCGCCTGTCCAAGAAATGCAGAGGCATACGCAAGGCCCATCTTTATACACGTAGTTAGAACTCACAGAGAAAACAGAAACTCTACTCAAAGCGCTTTGTCATAAAAATCTCCCTCTCCTGGGTGCGAGAGGAAGGGAGGGCGAAGTAATGCAGTGCCTCGCGGGCAAGCGATGGGCAATGAAGAAACCTGGAAACAGAAGAATGGCAAAACATGCTAACTGTCAGTGCCACTGAATTGGACATGTGAAAAACTGCTGACATGGCAAGGGTTTTGCTATATGTATTTCTACCACCATTTTAAAAAGAAAGAACCAACCGCCTACATGGGATCAAGAAACACAACATGAATTCTACTTAAAAAAAAAAAGAAAACCGTGAAGAATAAAATAAAAATCTAAACACAACCCTCAGAAGTGCACAGTCTCCATACGCACTCAGAAGAGACTATAAGCAATGGCAGGAAAACCCCAAACAAAGAGATACACACCACGAATACAAAGTCCCCAAACTAAGAAAAGAAATAAACCAGAGGGAGGCAAAATGAAGTAAACGTTGATTGAGTTCAGGAAAAAAGATAGGAGAAAAGGGGTAAGATCATCTAAAAAATAAACTCTACATAACTCCGTGCCCATGGAAGAAAAGATTTCAGTAAAAACTGAATTAGATCTGTAGAAGAACAGGAAAACAATCGAGAATGACCATAAGATAAAAGAGAGTAAAAAGGGTCAGAGATTGACATAAGATGGATAACTACGGAAAACCTAAAGGAACAAACAAACAAATGATTTAAAATGGAAATTTAAAAATTCTAGAAATAAAAGAAGTGAAGATAAAGCTGGAGAAAAGAGGTTATTGCTTCTCAACCTTCGGACTGAGATCAAGTGTGGAGAACAGAGGCTAATGTTACATGGGGACAGAAGCCACAGGGATAGGAAGGGAACATTTCCGTGGGATACATGAGGGGTTCAAACAGTTCGTGGGAATGGCACTAAAATGTAATGGACTCTCCCCACAAACTTTTGAAGCTCCCTGAGAACTGTTCTCTAGTGTGTAAGTTCCCGTTTAGCCTCTAAGACGTTACTAAAATCACTTCCTGACCCGCCTTGACCACCTATTTACAATGACAACCCCTCTTCCCTTCCCATACGCATAAATGCATACACACATTTCTGAACCTCTTCAGCATGAAGTTGCAGCCCCTAATACGTCCACAGTTACAATGACGGCTTAGGACACGGCCCCGTTGTACGTAGCTACAGTTGCTGTGAGTGCAAATCAATTCCATGGCAACTTACAGCAGCAACAGAACAAAAACATCTAGCAATAGCTCCTCGAGGGGCAACAGGTTAAGTGTTGAGCTGCAAAAGGAAAGGTTAGCGTTTGAACCCACCAACAGCTGCACGGGTGCAAGATGAGGCTGTCTGCTCTGTAAAGATTCGTAACCTCTGCTCTACTCTGTCTTCCAGGGTTGAGGATCGATTTGAAGGTAGTGGGAAGCTCCTTGCCAATGACGGTGACCCACCGTGGGAAGAGCATCCATCGGGAAGCTGAAGAAAGGACTGGGCAGAGTATGCCTGGGGGCAGCACTCGACAGTTTCCACAGTTCCTGGTTCTGCACCAAAGCCTTCCAATTGCCTTTGTTTCCTAGAAGGTGCTTTTTTCCCTTTTCAGCAAGTCCTCTTTCTCAATAGATGCAATATTTTTATCCATATATTGTGTGAGTACATACTTTTGTGTGTTATAGAAATAAATTGTTATGCAATGTTAAATGTTTTTATGCTTAAAGTCTAACGTGATCACACTATATTATAAAAATCTAAAAAAATGGTTTGCTTGCTTACCTTTGCGGATGAAACAATCTGCTTGGCCTGACGTCTTGATAAATGATTAACTGTCTTTATTAGCACCTCAGGATCTGCATTAGCTAAGTGTATTAAACTTTTGTAGCCAGCACTGTATAATTGTTTTGCTCGACCCTGAAAGTGTTAAGAAAAATCAGTAATATCACATTTTGGGATGATGAGAAAAAAAAATATATGACTTACTCCAAGGGAAAAAAATTCATGTGCAAGAGCTAGGAATAAATTAAGATGATAAAATCAGTATAAGGAGATAATGCATGAGAATTCGGAGGACTTTTAAAAGATGCATTAGGGTAGGTCTATTCTGTGCAGCCAAAGTCAGTGGTGTGGGCTGCATGTAGGAACTAGAAACCCACTCAGGCACTTAGGTTAGTGGCAAAAGTTTGGATCCCTAAGCAAAATGTCCTAGCTCAACGTCATTAAAATGGTCTCACTCATCCAACCTCTGGTGTAGTGGTTAAGCATTGGGCTGCGATCTGTATGGCTGGCAGTTCAAAACCACCAGCAGCTCCGTGGGAGAAAGATTGGGTTTCCTACTCCCATAAACAGTCTCGGAAATCTACAGGGGTTTCGCTATGAGGAAGCATTGATTTGATGGCAGTGAGTTTTTTTTTAGTCTACCCAGGAGACCAGTGTTGTTTTTAGTTTGAATAATTCATGATTCAAGAACTGAATAATGAAAACAGAAATCGAGGGTTAGTTGAAATACAGAAAGCCAAAGAACTAATTGAAGTGATTTTTCTCACTTTCATAAAAATGTAAGTGATCCTTGTTGCCACCAATTCAGCACTACTTTATATAAGCATTGACTCTACACTGAAAGAAGGGAGTAGAAGGAGAAAGAGGGTCCAGGAAAAGTGGTAGCAAGAACAGCTTGGGGACAGTTGCCTCAGCCCTATGGTAGGCTGGTTATCTACTGATCTATCTACTATGATTTTTCACCAGATTGACAAGAGGCTTCTTGAAGGCCATGGCAGTTACCTATTTTTTTTAAAAGAATTTTGCTGTTATCTACCCTGAGCTAAGACTTCACAAAGTAGCAAATCTTATTTTTCTGTTAGTTGAAATAATATCAACTGAAACATTTGGAAGCTACTGACCTCTAGAACTCCAGTCACTTCCATGAGAGGGATTAGCTCTGCCTTTACACAGTACGTCAGCTTCTTGGTGAGTTCTACCAAAAGGGCTTCATATACCCAAAACTCCTCCAGCTCCTATGGAAAACAAAGGAATAGACAAAGTTTACATTTCATGAGTGATTTCAAATTGTCCTTTCTGTGGGAAGAGGCTCAGAGAGGGCGAGTCTGGACCTTGGGGTAGGCCAGCAAAGACTCCAAGTATAATTGTTATGAGGAAGTACAGCAGCGATTCTAAGATATTTAATGAACTGGTTTTATTGATTAAAAAAGATAGAAAACTAAAAAAAAAAGAAGAAGCGATTCATCATTCTTATCAAACATTAGAAAGTAAATGACTAAGATTTTTCTTCCCAAAGTGTCTAAAAACAATTTCTACTTCTGGAAATTTATTTTGAAGAAAATATATGAAGCTGCCAGCTAAATATTTCTCATGACTAGCTATCAAATTACAGTTGTTTTTCAAATTCTAAATACAGACCTCTCTCACTTGAATAATCTTATACGAGCTTAGGTTCTTATTGCTAAAAAATCGCTGCCATTGAGTCAGTTCCAATAGCAGTCTTACTCGACAGTAAAGCTGGCTCTTTGGGTGTGAGAGTGAAATGTGTGTGAGAGCAGAAACCCTCCCTCGCCTTTCTCCTGTGGAGCTGCTGGTGGTTTCCAACTGCTGCCCAGCTGGTTACTCGTCATGTCTCATGTCTCCAGGGCGCCTCGCGTTTTACAGTCCCGAGTACAGCTCAGGCACAGGTTATTTGGGAGAACACTTTGAAATATGAAGAACAATAAACCTAGAAGAGCTTTGGAAAATATCTGATACATTTACAGACGAGCTTGTCCTTATTACCCAGACATTTCGTTTGCTGCCTCGCTAGAATATGCTCATGCAATGTAAGCAAATATCACAAAATCAGCATAAAAGTGATATTTATAAAGGCAAATTGTTAAAATAATTATCACTCACTCCAAAGTCAAGTCTGTTTGGATTATTTAGTTCCTTCATGAGTATACATGATAGAATGGATGGGTGGTTAAGCTGGGAAAATGATGTACATGCCAAATTTAGAAAGCTAGATTCATGAGAAAAGAAGTTTCTCAAAATGATGTGAATTAGGAGGAACTCTGAAAGGGACGGTGAGACCGGTTTCTCAATGAAGAACATCATCAACGCCCACAAATAACACATGCAGAGATTCTTGTATATTCATTCCTTGCTGCGTAGATTCAAAACAACAAAAATGAACATTAAATACATGTGCATATACAGATAAATACATAAAAACATTTATACACAGGTAATGTCATGAATCAAAAAGATGAAAAAAATCCATACATCTTGGAAGAATCATTTTGCTACTACGCAGATAAAGTTTTAAATGAAGTAAAATTGGCATTATAAATAAACAAAAAAGTATCCATGCAGAAAACTCTAGTGAGCTGTGTTGTGGTACTTAGGCAGTTTTCAAAGTTTCTTCCAGTGAAATTTTCAAACAACAAAAAAACAAATTCATGCCAAATACAGCCCAAATAAAGCTTTCCTCTTGGGCTGCTTTATGAAATACAGATCTGATGTAGAAGCCCCAAATAGCTACCTGGTGTCAGAGACAAAGATGGCAATCAGGGGATCAAGGCACAAAGCGATCACATGTTAAGCGCTGAACACGGAGACCACAATAACCAAACACTTTATGTCTCTCATGAGAAAGATACACAGCATTGACATCACTGTAGAAACGTGGTTTGTCAATGTTCATCCCAAATACCTGAAATTATTCCTGGAGGCTACAAGGGTAGGGAAGCTATGTGCTTTCTATTTGCTGTTTTTTCTAAGCAGATAAAACCAAAGATGCATTGTTAACACAAATGTTGAGAGTTTTCGCGTAACAAGATAAGTCAATAAAGAGAAAACACTCATTGGCTTAAGTTTAGCAACAAGGAAAATGGCTTGTTTAGTAGAATTACCTCACAGAAATGTAGTACACAAGATGAGAATGAGGCAGCTCCAGTGAGAAGATTTTGTATATACCCTCGAGGCATATTAAATTTATCAGATACGCTCCAAACATTGGTCTCTTTGAGCAAGGTATAAAGAATAAAAGACAGGTACAGTCGGTTGACAATGTCCTTGTCCACTTTCTAGGAAGATACAATCAAATAAATGTATGCTTGTTTTCCATTCAAATTAGACAAGAAGATAAAGTGAATGAAATTATACTGTCCCCCTTCCCCTAAAAAAACTGAACAATCACTGTCCAGTTGATTCTGCATCAAGCACCCTATAGGATAGCGTAGACTTGCCCCATAGTGTTTCCAAGGCTGTAATCTTTATAGAAGTAGACTATCTTATCTTTTGCCTAGAGAACAACTACTGGGCTTGAACTACTAACCTTTTGCTTAGCAGCTGAGCGCTCAACTACTGTGCCACCAGGACTACAGGGTAGTAAAATCAGTATGGTTCCACACAAAAATTAAAACATAAAAA